AATACATTTTAGAGTTAAGGGGCAAATTAAAGATCATGGAATATGTAATAGTATCTATACCAGGTGATGTATCTTTAGTTTTAAGACATGATTGTAGTTCTTGATACGAAAATTCACAATTTAATGGTGACTCACTATAATCAAAAGACGGAGTAGAAGTCATCACAAAATCTGGTGCCAATGTTCTCAATAGTTCTTCCTTCTTTTTGTCTGATGAATAAGATTTCGATTGCCTAAAACCTTTCATCCAGCGCATTTTCCTCCACATGGCCGATGAAGTTGTAGTCTCGTCAATACTGTTACAGAAATTATGCCATGCTTTAGATTTTGCTTGTCTTATCATCTTTTGGCTTTCATTAATTTTATTATTGAGTAAATCCAGATTTTGAGGCACGGGGTTCTTTCTAAATTTTGTTAAGGCTAAACGCCGTTCAGCTATCACTTTAGAAAGTTCCTGGTTCCAGTATATCTTTGGCGTGAATTTACGCGTTGGATTGTTGCATATTTTTATGAATGGAATCGATTCGTCGGCCGCGTTAATAATTTGAGTAGTAAGAAAGTCATACATACATTGTACGTCTTCCGAAGGTGGTAAACCTCGTTCAAAATTATTGTTCATAACGACACGATAACTACACCAATCAGCTCGCTTTAAATTTCGCTTTAACGTCATACTAAGTAGTTCCGGATATTTAAAACAAAATTTTATGATTAAATGGTCACTACCTAAACTTTCACTACTAACACTCCAGGAACTATTAATAGCTATGTCTGTGGTACAGAATGAAACATCAGGGGAGGTTTTTTGTAAAAAACCACTCACGAGCTTCACTCTCGTAGGATCGCCATTATTCAATGAAATATAATTGTTTTCGATTGCAGCATCATATAATTGGTTACCTCTAGAATCATTTCTACTGGACCAGCAGGCATGATGCGCATTAAAATCGCCCGCAATAACAGTATTTGTTGGGAATTTTGAAAAAATATCTTCCCAGTCTGATTGCGAAGTTCTCACAGAAGACGGGCAGTAAACAGAAATTATATTGTGAACTAATTTACAATTAAGGATTTTAATATGCAATATCTCTATACCTGAATTAGTCACACTTATCGGAACAATAAACGTTTTTAAAGATTTATGCGAAACTATTGCTACTCCTCCGTATGAGTCATACCTATCCTTTCTATAAACATTGTACCCATTGACCTTTAAACAGCTACCTGCGTCCAACCATGTTTCACTTACAATAGCCACATGAATATTGCTTCTATTTAATAATAAATCAAAATCAATTAGTTTCGGTTTTAAACTCTGAGCATTCCACTGATAAATGTTTATATTAGTAGTAATGTAAACTTTATCCATCAGTAAATAACATAAACAGTTTACTTACAATGTTGCAGTCTTTATAGTACTTGACAAAATATACCACTATTTCTTCTAAAACCAGTTTTATAATGTTTTGCACTTTTTCTATTGTTGAATAATCTGCCGACCATATGTTTTTAACCTTTTCATAAAACACCTTCAATTTAGATACAGGATCCATATTAGTAGGAATTTCTTCAATTATTTCTTTATCGCGTTTTTGTTTTTGTTGTTGTGATTTCTCATTTTTCTTTATATCTTTTGATCGTTTTTGTTTTTCCATCTGTTTTTTCTTTACCTTTTTATTTAGTGTTAAGTGACTTACGTTTTGGTAAGGTTCATTTTCACCTCCGCTGACGTCATCCAGTGAGGCATCAGAATCTATGCACTCATTCATGGAATATATTGGTGGTACCAGGGGTGTGATTGAATCCCTATAACTTTCCTTCTGTAGTGCAGGAGTAGGTAACGTATCCCTTACTCCATTGTTTACAGAAGTAATTTCACTTCGTTTTTTATATTGTTTCATATACAATTCCCGTGCTATCTTGTATGAACATTTATCCTTACTCATTATATCCCTGATCATTTTTTCTTTTTTATACACGGGGCATATTTTACTCAATGCCATATGGTGACCCTTACAATTAACACACGAAAACTCTTCAGTATTGCAATTATCATGTCCTTTACTACATTTAGGGCATATTATTTGCAAGGTAGGACAGAACCGTTTTGTGTGGCCATACTTCCAACATCCAGAACATTGGGTTACAGGAAATATATACGATTCCACTTTAAATCGACACCCGTATCCATATATGTGCGAAGGTAATGTTGCTCCTTTAAAGGCCACGCGAATAACTTCACTATTAACCCATTGCCCACTTTCCGCTAATCGTTTTAGTCTTTTAACAGCGGAGATCTCAACTTCACTCTGAAATATTTCCATAAATTCAGTCTCTTCCAAATCCAAGTCAATATTTCTCACAATGCCATAAATAATACTTAGTTCATCTGTTCTCTGGCATCTAAAATCTAATTCCTTAAATTTTTCACAATTAAGTATTTTATTAGTATCTTCAATATGTTTTAGTATAATAGACATTTTGAAGGGACTTTTATATTTGATTTTAAGTATGCCATTTATATTTTGAGACTTCAATAATTTGGCCATTCCAACCATTTTCGGTAGTACTGTTTTAGATGTAAGACATACCTCAAAATGTTCCGGCTGTTGAGTATTATTTTCACAACTACCCACATCATTTAAAATGTTGTTGTTGTTATTGTGTGACTTACTACGTAATATTCTTTTCACCTTTCTGGTTACGGTAGTAAAACCATCATCTTCTTCGATAATTTCTTCACTATCTTCCCTCGCCCTTTTCTCAATACCTTTCGGAATTTCTACTTCCATATTTATCGTACTTCTTTCAATCATTGTTTCTGCTTGTGTGTTCTCCGTCATCTCTTTATTCATGACAAATTCTTCTGCTGTACTAGACTCCGTACTTAGAGATCTTCCAAATCTATCCATTATCTGAATTACTAAATAACATGGAGATACTTTTAGAAATAATAAGTGACACGATAAATTAAATAAGACGTCTGCACGTCTCAGTCGTCAACGCGGCACTAATTTATATCTGAATACATTTATTTTATTATGCACTCCAAAACTTAATAGGAATTCGTGACTGCACTTGATAGTAATTAAGATATATTATGATAAGTAGATATTACATATGTATTTAGTTTTTATATCTAGATACAATATTTAAATTATGCCATAATGAGACTGTAAGATGTCGAGACATACTTGTCAAAGTTAAATATAACACGATGAATCGGTTATAACCAGATTTCTGGTAACGTCCAACATGTCTCAGCAAACATTACAATACTTTGAACATTCATGTTTTACACATGTTTGTCTCTCCTACTTTTGTTATGGTCTACAGGGTTAATTATCATCTCATAATTTGTAATCCACCACCTACGTCAACGTTGTAGAATGCAATAAATATATATCATGTAGTTACCAGGTCATCAATATACTAAGTATCATTTATAGAGGAGAAATTCTTACAAAATCCTTGAACTCAAGTCCTTTTCACCAATAAAGCAGGTATAAATATGCGAAATGCTAAGAACAGTCACATTTTACAGTCATAACTTCGTAGCAATGCTGTACCCGTTACTATATCGCACAGTGGTCTCTACCTGTTGCGGTGACTGGCCGTTGACCCGTCAAGTATTGACATATTCCTATAGTTTCTCACGTCTAGCCCCTACACACTATTACTCCGCATGCTTTTACTGTGTTAGCGAATGCAGCCTTCGACGTACATCTTTGAGTAAGAGTACTTGTGAAACTTTCTTCGTTAACTTTAAGATATTTATGAAATAATCTTAAGCTAAAATTAATTAAGGTTAACTAACCACAACAAGTTTAACCTTGTAAAATTTTCACACCTAGAACATGTAAAATGTTATAAATTTAAAACATTTCAAGGGATTCCCCAAGGAACGACATTTGGTCCATCTAAATATTTTATCAAAGTATTTAAATAATTAACTTGCAATATCTCAGTTTTTATTTGCAGTTGTACGAACGTAAATATTTTATATAAATTGCTTGTAAAACACCTTTCAACAGCTTTACAGAATGATTAACAACGGACAAGATAATAAATTCAGTAAGTCACAGTTCATTATTCATGGAATTCCCCGACTAAATCTTTAACTATTACCGCGAGAATAAACAGCTGTAATAATTTATTTTGTACTACCATTTTGGTTTTATTTTCAGGTGGCAACTGAATAAAAAGTAAGCGAATCAGCACACCTGGTTACTAACACGGTAAGCAGAGATAATCAACATTTTTCCGAGACGAATTAAAATATGGGACTTCAAAAGAGTGAAACATTTGAATAAACATTTTCAAAAGATTTAAATATGTAATTATTCTAGTTTACTGCAAAAATTAACTTCACTGTTACTATTATTGTATATTATATACCATAATATCAAAAGTAAGTTGCTCTAACACAATAAATTAATCAAAATCAACCATAGCAAAAGTTATCTGAACCAAATTACAATCTTAATTTTTTACTGCAATCCAAAAAAATAACAAGCCTCAGGTAGCAAACTCCTGTCTTATAACAACCTCGTCAAAACTAAACGGCAGATTGTTACCAATTACAGCATTACTTATTCAACTGCTAATGTCTGTATTGTCGTCTGTCAGTAATTCAATTGGAGGTAATTGATAAATTGTAATCGGGCATCGTGAATCATATCTTATGTTTACACGGCGGTGTCAGGATCGATATCATTTTATAACCTGAATTTACTTTACATTTCCTTGTTTCTACGTCTTACTCGTATACATTTTTACTTTTAGTTCCTTTAGGTTCTACTTTAGTTATGTAAGTTTTGAGGTTTACCTACATTGCATATTTGTAATGGCGTTTTTTGATTCATTTTACAGCATGAAGTATAAACATCTGTACCTATTCTCACGACAAAAGTTTGGCTGACGTCTTTAGTAAAGTACTTATGCAGTAAAAATAACATTATCGACTAAAATGTAAAATAGTGAATACATAAGGTACTTACGCTGGTCGTTTCCATCGGAGCGAGCCATGACGGTACCGTTTGGAAACACGTTGACGTACATATGGGAGCACTGGCTGTAGAGGCGAACCGACCGGACTACCATCGATGGCACCGCACCGCAGACCACCACCTGAACATAAACAAAACAATCCATGTAATCAAAATCACTCACAAAATACATAATCTCTAATACACAAATTCATTGCACAATTAGAAGAACGAACAGGACAAGATAAGATTTCAATTCGATGGAGCGTAGGAATAAATTCGCAAACGATTCGAAATATTCTAATGTGCCTAGCTTATCGTGAATCAGGTTTGTAAGGGTGATAATTATGAAAATTACCAAGCACGACAAGATATCTTAATAAACATTTAGCAAGACTACCTATGCACATTAAATTCATGAACTTATTGAGCCATTTTGAACGTATTCTCGTATCGGAATATTTTCGCTGCTACTACGTTGTACCTGATTGATGGTCATGCTAAATTGACGTTGCGATAACAGTATGTCGTAAGACCCTGATTTATGTCAGGATTACTCATAATTTTTAATGATTGAAGACTGTGTCATAGACGTGACGTAATACAAACGTGCTCTCGTACCTACGTAGGAAGTAGGACCTACGAACACACTACGAAAATTGAATTAAAATTTCATGTTTTGGAATCGTATGTTGTAAAACGGTGTGATAATATAGGAATTTAATGAGGATTTTACTTAAACCATTTAAATGAATGCGAAAGCGTACGATGTAAAAGCCGACATTGATGTTATAGAGAAAATTTCCAACACTCTTCTGCTGCGTGTGGTCCATTCCTCCTTCTAACAGCTAAGTGTCAAGTCGTTTAAATTAGTTTCCTTATTCTGTTGGTACTTTCACCGGGATTTTAATGGCGCCAGTGTCGACCGACACCTCATTACGCAGATATTGATCAAACCCTATCTCCTATGACCTTGTGAACTTCACGAGTTGAGATGTTGAATATTTTACTCGTTAACCCCGAAACACGTCGAATTTTCCTTCTAATTTCCATGAACCAGTCTAGATTTACTTTGAAAACTACTACAGCTGATTAAATTACTACGTGCGATATCTAGTATTACTAATCGAATTATAATGCAACAACTGTACAAACACGCCCATGCAGTGATAATGTCAGCTCTTGCATATTTCAAACGGTGTTACGTGTGCGCTTGGAGAAAATTCTCATATTATAGTCATATTGAATTTTGTAATTATTACTAGCACCACGCGTCGCAAGCACCACAATAAGGAAACAATCGATCGTTTTAATGGGTCAGCCGAGCTCAGCTAATCCGTCAGACTGAGGGATCAGATTGCGTCGTTTAGGCAATAATAAATCCTATTTAGGTGTCCATCAAAGTTGATTTTTCATATTTATCTACAGTTGTTTTAGGTCCTTTTATAACTGTACGACCGGTGTCATATTCAGGTTGGAAAGCATAGGCTACCGCGACGCGGTCACTATTCAGCCATATTGCATTTCACGTGAACTTTTTGTAAACAATACTGCATTTACTTTTTAGCTTTGAATGTTTAAGTTATTCGGATTGTTGTTGTAGCCATAGCAATTTAGTAAAACCAATACATGTAAATGCAAATGGGATAGATAACGTTATTAGTTCTGTAGAAATATGTACAGCTTGAGATCTTGTTTTACGAAAGTTTAATTACAACAAAATACTTTTGGTTTTTAAAAATCTTGTCACATAATCAAAACGAGTCATACTTAAAAGTAACGGTGCTGTTACCAAATACGATATGAGAGTTAATTATGATAATGGGATTTATTCAGATGTCTATATACCTTTAGGAGCAAAAAGGTGTAACCCGTAAAATGTTTATAAGGGCTTGTGTCGTGATATATTTGTTTGACTTCTCTTCTTCAGCAACGAAAATTGCAACACGTTTTTTCATAAACAAGTCAATTACTGTTTGAACATCATAACATTTGAAACATAAATAAAGTTAGAACAGCTACAAAACGTAATCATATATTATTTACAGTAGTAAATAAATAATCTTATGTTATATCTCAATTAGTTGTAACATCGTATGATATTAAACTTTGTACAGTTGATTCTATTAAGATAATTAATCGAGATATCATAATCTTAATGTCGTAATTTATGCGTTACAAACCATGATATTAGTTTGCAGGGAACTAATTTATTTCGACAATATTTCGTTCTGATGCTTATATTTTTTGCATATAAATATTTTTTATTATGAAATTAGCGATCTGTGTTATAATTTACCCAATTAATTTTATCGGATTGTTATGTTATCCAAAATGTTTTTTTTTTTTGCCAAATCAATTATCTAGTTATGTTTCACTTTTTGCTGAACTGTCACCTACGTTATACTCAAGTTACTAATATATACGTCTTTGGACAATCTAATAGATGGTACAATGAACAACAATGTGAGCAAGACCTCGACAAGTATATTTGCAATCACTACACAAACTATTCATTTCACATAATTATGAAAAATTTCAACATTGCTTTTCAGTAAATATTTGGAACTGAAATCACGTGTTACATGTATCGAGAGGAAGGTCGACGTAATGTGCAATTATCGTGTATTTGGAGGTCACTGATCATTTTGTCATTGGACTTATCTTAGCCGACCCGAGCAAACGCATTATGAACGCTTGATTACACGTCAGCCAACCAAAACTATCCGGTACCAAGTGTATCGGAAATTTTCACGGTACGAAGCACAGATATTGGTGTTCAATAGCATGTAATCTTCGGTACAAGTGCCGTTATAATTAGAAAACTAATATTGTTAAGCTTATCATGTCCTCTATGATAATTTTTCGGCACCTTATCGCTATAATGCTTTGTGTATTTACGCGTCAATTTTTGTATATAAACAAACGGAGACATTTTAGTATGGAATTTGGCAAAAACCATTGCAATACTTTTCATAAAAGTCATCTTCTAAAATGTTTTAGTCGAGTTTGTTAGGATCCGTTCATAGGTGGAATTTAATGTTGTAACACATTTCTGAAGATATTATATTCATCTTCGTACCATTGAAGTGTGAAGACTGAGCCGCAGATATCGATAACGTAATTTCTCAGTCACACCTTCACAAACGTTGATGGGTTTACAAGAAAATTTTATCTTACATGACTGTTATTATCATTTTATTGTGTCCGTCTATAAAATCCGGGTTCATCAAAATTTATAGAGGGATTTACGCCATTTTGAGACGGACAAAAACGTGTTAGGTTTAATATAAGCATTCATTACATTGTGACTTTTTATTTGGTCTGGCCTTTGGGTATTTCATGAGAATATATTTGTGTTAAGTGCAATAAAAATTATAGGCTACTAAATTTTATCATTACCTACATACCGACACAGGAACATGCTTATGTACTTATTTTTATCAAATATTATTATGAAATACGAAGGTTTGTAGACAAAAACTAATCTTTGAACACCAGTGACCTAAATCCGTCCGATACAACACTGTAATCACTTCCTTGTGTCTATATCGATGATTGCTAATCGTGGATTAGTTTCAAATAGTTGATTACGGTCTACCAAACAGATGTATATGTCACCTAACTATTGTAGAAATAGAAAGTGAGTGAAACTGTCCAGGTAGATTTCACTAGTTCATGCAATATGGCTTTAAATGATTTATTTTCACACATTTCCACATGCAGGGTTGGAGTGCACGATTCAATAGCTGTTAGGTAACTTTTAGCAAAGACGTACTAAGAAAAAGCATTCAGGTAACTTATTAGACAAACAATAAAATATATCAAAACAACATTAGATAATTTGTTTCTTAAAGTATTGGTCTACGTAATCGAATACATGTTTAATATAAAATATTCTATAGCTGTTTTCGTTTAATTATACATTGTCTTAACGAAAGAACATGAATTCTTGACAAACTCGACCACTATCTTAAATGTTCTCAAGTATCAACGAGGATGATGCTAAGCTGGAAGTGAGACCTCACAATGAAGATCGTTTGGTTTCCAAATTCTTATCATCATAATCATTACTTAGGGATTAGCGGCCACACACGCTCCAAGATAAAGTAATTGTTTTACTATGATAATGTATAAAGCTGACGTAACGGACTAAAGTAATATTTTGAACAAAGATGAAGTAAAAACATTTTTTAAAGATGATCGCAACACAGTTATGAATTAACAATATCTTGTTATCAGACGAGCTAACTGTAAATGGTGAACAATATGTTAATCCAGAAAGAGAAATACTTTCAAAGATTCAGAAGTGAAAAACGGATCACAAAAGTGCTAAACGACAAATCGTGTAAATGATTTGCGCAGATCCGGCGCCAGTCTTGCATGAACCCGTCTCGCGACATTTTTGGGCAAATGTATTATTTTGTCGTATTTCTGCTATTTATGTGTGAATTTATTTGCCTTTTTATCTTGATTTGTGGTTGTATACGGATTTTGTTTATACCTAACCAATTATTTTTTTCTTTTGTATAAAGTTCGCGTTCATAATTCACAAGATTAAGTCCTCTTAATTTAGTTCGTTTTAAGCTACATTTTTTGTATGTTTAATTAGCATAATATCAGTTAAGTGTGAATCCGTTCTTCCGTATAGTATTTAAGAGAAAAAACTTGTTTGGATTCTGATCGCTTCCTATATTTGATTCGACAATGTAATGCGTTTCAAGATTTCAATGCAAAATAAATGTTGCTCAATTTATTAAATCGAAACGTTTACATATCGATTACACGGGGACGTCAATCGACACTGGGCAACCGATAAATTCTGAATTAAACAACCCAATATCTACTGTAACTTTGGAACAGAGGAAATTATAGATTCTATACGATTTTGATTTATGCATTTGTATATTAATGTTTGTTAATCAGTTCTTATGTAGAAAAGAGAATGTGCCGATGTTTAAAATTTGATATTTTTATGGCAAAGTGAAGACACATATATCGATGTCATGTTATGTAAGTCTTCCCAAATATAAGTAAACGATATAATATTTTAGTTTCAACAGCTGAAAGTCTGTTTTTAAATGGACTTTGGTCGAATGTTGTAGTACCATATGGCTTTAGTTGTAATATCAATGCACTTGGTATCAATAATCTTTTTGATTCTGATAACCCGAATATAGGTCACATGTGTCGCCAAAATGTCGAGAGCTCTTAAGTAGAGGCCTTCAGATGAAGAATAGATACAGATTAGCAATCTAAAGTAAGTAGGTATAGATTTAGATATTACAAGTAGGTACCTACTGAAGAGGTTACTGTAAAATAAATGTAAACGTTGACGTTTCAAAGGTACCAAATTATGGTTTAATTGAAATAAATGCTTTGATTTTGACTTTGAAACTGCAAATTGGCAAAATATTATAACTATAAATATAAATATATCTCACTTCCTATTACATGGGGCTCACACAAATAGTGAAAAGTGAGTGTCACATTGTACGGTGGCACCTCTGCCTACCCTTTCAGGGATAAAAGGCGTGAGGTTATGTTATGTACAAATATAAGTACACTGACCAATTTCTATCTATCATACGAACCTGTGTATCATACGAGACCCTATTTGTGCTACTTGTGTAGTTTACTTTACAATTTGTACCAGTTTTGGTTATGAATTTAGCATCATTATCGAATCATCAACCGAATAATCCTTCGTTATCATCTGACTAGACTTGAAACTAAAAATAACTGGTTTCTCTATTGTTGATATGCATTTCTCATAAAATCGTTTTTTCCAAAAAATATAGGATCTCATATTCAACGCTGAGGAAAAGAAAGCTATAAGAAAAGGTGAATGCATTTCGGGAATTGTTTATTGAATTACTGTCAAAATGGACACCAACTAGAAGTTGAATGAAAAATCTATTAAAAAATATATTAAACCTCATCATAAACGATATAATATTACATAATAACATAACCCGAGTCTTATAGCAGGGTTTGTAATTGAAAAGCTAGTAATAGGCGGTATTCAATAAGAGCAAATTTCTTCATCGGACAGCGTGCAGTGTTTACCTATGTAATCACAGCAAATGATAGGTGCTCGCTAAACTCTCTCATGACGTACTTTAAATATTATACGTTCGCGGAAAAATAGGGAGCCTTAACATTCATAATAGTGGTGAAGGCTTTAAAGACCATTACAGGGCATTTAATGAAGTAGTTAATGATTCTATCAAGGATAAAAGTGGCTATTTGAATTTTTTTACAAGTAAATTTTTCTCAAGTTCATTAGAATTAAACAGTTTCATTTTACAATTTTTGGTAATATCAATGGTAAACAAAGTAGATATATCTATTTTATTTTCACATATTTGTCTGATTACACATTTTTACAAATTTCCAGAAGGTTAGATTCTAAGTAAACAGCAATTAAATATGTCATGCGTTTCTCGTTATATTTTTTTCATCGCTTGGTATTTTGACCATAATATGTGTGTCGCATCGCAAATGTGATAATTACGGCAACTAAGCCGCGGTCACGTACAACAGTTGCTATTTATGAGAATTAGGAAATCAATATGTTAAATACCAACGTTAGTGATTCGAAGAATTTGAAATCTCTGATGACTGTATTCTTCGAGACGTCCCCATAATACAATTAAGCATAATATTATACAAAAACTATAATAAAATTATACCATAGTTATCTTGTTATTATGTATTTGTATCTTTGGTTAAGTTACAAATTGAATTAAAGTAAAGAAAAACAAACATGCAAAAACATTTTTATCAACAGTCCGATAATCACACAAAAAATGGCACCTACTAAAGACATAATACATTTTTTCAAAATTCCTAACAAGTGTAACAACCCTGATTATAATCAACATCGCAAATCAATATTACGTTATTGAAAGATAATTGACTGATTTAATTAAACATGTGAATGATTGATTTATTATCGTTGCGCGTCCGATAGTGACGCCGGGACACGTCACGTCAATGTCTAGACGTCCGTATCGAACGAATGCGGAACCCTGAAGTACATTTGTGTGCAATCAATTGCATTATACCTGTTAGGAATCAATTTGTTAACAAATTAAAGGACGAAGAACTTAAAGAAGACGACATTGACAAAGGAACTAGTAAAAACATGAATTTGTTTTTCATTAATATCTTTGGCGATTAACAAACACAAATAGAGGCGTCTAATTTATAATGTAAAGGTATGTTGCCCAGACAAACGTAAGTAAGATCTATGTGAACAGATTTTAGATACCTAACAATACCAGTCACCGAAACCACAGAGACTACAAAGTTTTCTACACAATCAATGCAATGTACTATAAAGATATTTGGTTATCGTATATAATAGTTTTTAGGTACAATGGAACTGTAATTTATAAATGATTAAGAGAAAGAAAACCAAACGGATACAAATTGTTTATAATTTACAAGAAAATAAATTGCATGTTTATTTGTATGCGAATGCTAATCAGTCACGCTGTACCAATATGGAAAAGAATACAATACTAAAAATATACTGCAAAGCGATAAGGTGTAGGTTTGAACGTAAGTACTTGAAAATACAAGAAGACTAAATAATCGTTTTAGAGCGTGTTCTTGACATGCTTCATTATAGGCCCTAATACGACTCCTTGAGGAACTACCTCACAAACTACTAATATACGAAGGCAAGTATTGTTTGGAAATGTTTTACGATTGATATTATAATTACAAATTCCGTCTAATCACTGCAAATGTATTCAGTTTGTCTCTGTTAAAGCAACAAATACCTGAGATACGTACAAACGCGATGTAGAAACTAATCAAAGGCGGATTACGAATCGCAAAATACCGAAGTTTAGTTATTCTACCTCGGTGTTCTTAATCTTAATTGTTAACTTGTCGAAATATTTACATAATTACGTTTTATGTTATCGTTTTATAGACAAGATGAATATGCAATCTCGCAAATTATTCTACACATAATTGTATTTATTTTCAAGTATGACGTGTTTCCGCAGTCTAATCACTCGTATTTATTTAACATTTCTTTACTTGTTGTGTTCAGAACTAATTAACAATGCACGTAAATAATCGTATGATTTAGTTTTACATTGTGATTTACACAGAATGCACTAGTTGCATATTTAATGTGGTACGATACCTCTGAAGTATTTCTCAGAACTTTTATCGCATCGAAATGCGTCGTATGCGCTTTACGGGTAACCGGCAGACGTTTTCTCATTACACCCAGCTAATGTGAATAAAATGATGGCTGCGATTGAAATTACTAATCCTTTTACACCGGATAACTGACCTTTTTACGTCTTACGTAAATTGGTTTTATTAAGACCTTACATACTTGGGCTATGAGTATGCCTAACCTAGATAAGATCGAATTAGGCAAATCGAAAATCAATGCTAATTTCCAATATACGAATGAGAAATTTTATTAAGAAATCATACTAACGATGTCATGTGTGTCAAGTAATCGTTTTGATAATTGAGTTGTTAAGTGAAATGACCTTTTGGTCTTCAATTTAAAGACATCACGATACCTACTGGAAACTTCTAAAGATTCATAATAATAATTCATTCTCTCTAACACCTTTGTTAAGGAGTGTATTATAAATGAGCTCACTAATTGACTATAATTATACAGTAGCAAATTTTATAAACTGCCACACTACCAAATTGAACATTTATGACTACACCTGATAACCTTAAAGCATCTGACTTTATTTTTATTTAATTAAAACCTCTAACAACATTAATAAACTTTATGGTCACAGTTAATTTATTTTATCGCAGATTAATTGGGAATTAATTTTTAAATTTATGTTCTATGCTAAATGGCTTTCAATTCTTTGTCTATTGGTGCAATAATGTATCGCTTTTTTTATACATTTTTGAGTTCTTAAGCAATGAAAAATGAAGATAAGAAAACAGGTCACGCTGGACATTGAAATTTGTTACTATTTGGCACTTTTTATCACAGCTGTTAATTATTTACTCATCGTTTTATATCTTGGTATTTGGTAAATTAATTTTTTATCAGTTCTCAAGGTTGTCACTTGAACTTTTATGACATCTGGTGATATTATTGTACGTCTTTAATATTTCTATATACTGTGGTTCTTTTACCTGTTCTTTTATAATTGTATATTGTATAAAAAAGATTCAACTTACCATCAGGAGGCACAATATCTTCGCAGAGACGGCAAGCTGTGGTAACCTGGAAACAAAGAAAACAGGTATCAAACTTTATGTCCTTTACAATAAGATACAAAATCACAAACTTAGTTTATAAATAAATAAAAAAGTCCCTTGGTGGAGTTTAGTGTAAGTATAAGTTATGAGTAATCTTAAACATAAGTAAATGTAAGTTACATATGTATAAGTAATGTATAATATGTATAGATTAAGAACAGAAAGTACCTAATCTTTCCCGTCAGATGAAATGCGCAAACAATGAACAATGTTTATCTTGTATGAATGCGTAAAACAGATGAATGTTTTATGGTCACATTTTGTTTTATAACACCGTTATTTCGCATATTATTTACTCTTCAACTCATTTTAAAGATCGGGGAGTATAAGATCTCTTTAAACATTTTAAACATTGATCCTCAACCCGCTAAACCAGTCGTGGAGATTTTATTTATTTATTTAATACCTATGTAATTACATAAAATAATTCTAATCAATAATAGGACGTAAACATAGGTATATAAATAAGTTATGTATCAATAGTTGAGTTGAAGATATAAATTTAATCTAGCTACCTATTTAATTTATTTACAATTAAAATTAAATTAGATATAAGTACTAATCTCTTTGATATACGAACTATTATATTAATACGTATTAGTATCTAAGACGATAATTTGAGATTAAATTATTTATTAATAGGTTTTTTAATTAAAACCGCCTATTTCACAATGTGAGGTAATATATCATCTACATACTCTGACGTATCTCTTGATATTACTTCTTCCAAAATCATAATCATTGTGTAGTAATAGAAACTGAAATAATAATTACATAATCTATTTATATAAATAAAAATGAATTTCCATTTGTTTGTATCGCTAAAACTCGAGAACGGCTGAACCGATATGGTTAATTTTGGTCGTCAAATCTTCGTGGAAGTCCAGGGAAGGTTTAAAAGGTGAGACAATATTTTGAGCATTACGAAGTTTGGCTGATCAACTAGTGATATATATTTTAGAGAGTCCTAAATTGTAGATACCGAGTGTATGTTAATAGCTTCACTAGAGGACTGAACGAAAGACTGTATTATTTTTTTATATCTTACGTTCAAAAGTACCTTTCTGGTCTAACTGAAATAAAAGATTTTGACTTTGACTTCTGACCATGGTATTAGACACACCCCCTATTATATTGGACAAAAGCATAACTACTAAATACTGGAAATTTTATCACATACGTGCACTTCTGCCTACTCCTTCGGAGATAACAAAACGTGACAATGTATTTATGTTTTCATGTTTAAACATCACCACAAAATTTATTCAAAAAATCATTACAAATTACCAAAAGTACAGTAATTTCTAAACAAACGATGTCAGTACATACTGAAATCCCCATGTAACTGGTATTTCCGAATCATAAACGAAGTGTATTTACGCCATAAAAGAAAACGAGAATGTATTTTTCTTATCTCAGTTTTCTACGTTAGTATTGCAAAGACGCTACGATTGAATGGATGTGTATGTATGTTTGTTCGGAATGCTCTTCACATTACACTACATACAATGGATCATAAAAGTTTAGGAACTATTTAATCTAGGAAATACTAGCTATCATATAAGATCTGAAAATACATTATTGTGGACAACATCGTTTAAAAGTGTTAACCTAATTGTGTTATTTTGTACTTAATCATTACTATCATATGTAAGAAAATCGATTGTCTCTTGCTTAAATACTTCTTAGATCTACTAGTTTTTACCGATCAAGCTAAAAGGAGGGTTATTGTCTCTGTATTACAGTCTAAGTATGGTTGAAAATGCGTCCTCTGGCTTGGGCAACAACTTTAAAAAAGAACATTTTTTTCAGTAACAACAAAATTCACCTTTGTCATCACACCCTTGACATTACAGTAATCACATCGTGCCTCCATTTGACCGATGAAGCTCAATAAGTACACATTACAAAAAATACCCTAATCTGGTCATTGACACCGCCGTAATTCGATACCATAAAACAAACATACGTCACAACCATTCGTCCTTGTAATAAAGAAATAAATTGAGAATTATTACATAGTTAGAATCACATAAATATTTTAATTACAGCCTGTTCTAAACATGTTTATGACATAAAAAAACTTAATAAAATATATATCATAAATCACGTTTTTTTTAATACAATAAAATGTTAGTATCGTATTTTTTTTCTGCTAAACGTGGTAGATATACCTACATACGTCAGATGTATCTGAAAAAGACGCACGATTGGTCGACATTCTATATTAATTCATTAATTGTATACACGTGTAGTAATGTATATAGGTAGATAAATGAACATTAGGCATAATTATAGCAGTCATATTTAGGTAATAAGCAATAATATGTACTATTCTCATATGTAGGTATACTATGTCTCATAATAAAAACATACAATAATTAAGCGTAGAACTACCATTTTATAATAATGAGACGTTATTTACAAAGCATCAAACTAAGTTTTCTTTAACATTTTAGGTAAAAATTTGAACGCACTTAGCAACAGATATTTACAAAAAATAATGATAAAATCACATACAAATCAAACAATCCTCAAATTCCTAATCCTCCAAAAGGCCGGTAACGCACTTCTAACGCCTCTGGTGTTTCGGGTGTCCATAGGCGACGCCGATTGCTTACCATCAGGTGATCCGTCAGCTCGTTTATCGTCTAATCCCATAAAAAAAATATCTCCTTAAACGTGCTACTGCAGACGATATCTAGATGGCATGTAATATCATTAATCATTGATTATAACACGGTCGATCGTTAGGTAACGCGATACCTAAGCATCGATGCTACCGGGCGCCATAAATGCGTAACAAAAACTAAGGTTCATAGGCCAGGCAATCATCCTTAGGTAACTTACGCGATCAGTGTGTAAATTGAATAGTCTAAGTAGCTATTGGCTTTTATGTGTACTATGTAGTCGGTGTATTTACTGTATTCATATTCAGAAACATCAATATACAATATACCTACATAATATACTAAGCTATATTAAAATTTGAAAGTTTGTTTCGTGTTTTCTCCCATGTCGTGACTAAGTAATCTTACTACGTTAAGAAAGATTCGGACAATAATGTATACCACGTGTTACTAATGTTTCGAAATCGAAAAAACCCACAGCACCCATGATTCTGGATCATATCTCCTGGATATCTGGAATTCAGCAGCAGAGTGATAACGGCTACATTATTCCTTTCTAGCAATAGCTCATTGCTAATCATTTTCTTTTTATAAAATTAAAAACAAAACTATGTCCAAGAAAAACATAAATAAATACGAATCGAATCAAGTATCATCCCTGAGGTAGTCCATTTAGAGCACCTGTGCGAATAGCACCCGAACGAATAGCACCCAGCCTAGTCTACGAAGGGCACCTATCAAAATATTTGTGCAGGTGCTCTTCGTGGATGCCAATTTGTTTATATGTATTTATCCACGGATGGCACCTACGACTCAGAACCGTAGTGCTGGGATATATACACCGGTATTTGGTAAGCAGGACGTTAAAATAATACATATGCATTAATAATTTATATTACACAAACAGTACCTACCCTACAGCGCTGACGCCAATTTCGAAAACCATCATGGGTCTCTCTTTTCTTATGCTCAGGACCATATACCAAGCAACCTACCTGGGATGCGTGTGCTACGGGTCTGAAAATACTATTTTTATTGAGGCCTAGCTCTTATAACCCCTCCACTGTCGACGCCGTAGACATTTTCCACGATACCAGACATGTCTGTAGACTTTTTTACAAGTGACTTTGAAGAAGTTGCAGTAAGAGGAATTCTATCTGTATTTCCCAAAGTCGCTGTAAAAGGGTGTTACTTCCATTTTAAAAAGGCGCTACTAAAGAGAGGTAATGTAAAATAAAAATAGTATTTTCAGAAAGCACGTTGCTCTATGCACTGTTCTTCCTTATTTGCCACCGAATGACTTAGACGATGCTTGGCTATATATAATGGGTGAGAGTCCCCAAGATGACAAAGTGACAGCATTCAACGATTATATGGTTAGCCAGTGGATTGACCACAAATTGTGGTCAAACAAATGGTGTTCTTACGGTCAAATTCAAAAAACCAATAATAATGCTGAGACGCGTTATTCAGCTATAAATAAAGCTATAAACAAGAATAATAAGAACATTTGCAGTGTTTTAAGGGTCTTAAAAGATAATAGCAAAAATTATGCTGAAGTACGGAAAAAAATTGACACATCACGATCTCAAAAAATTGCCGAAATAAAAAATAAATTAATAAATAGTATAATAGAAGAATACAAAAATGGCATTATTTCTCTAGGGCACTGTATCGAAAAGTTGCGATTTTAAGATTTATTTTTATTATGATAGGTACTGTTTTTTATGAGACAAGCCCGCTACAACCTCCTTAAACCGCTGCAACTCCTGTAAACCACGTTCTACAGTACAACCATGAAAACACCGGAACACTGAAGTCCGGCGCGTCCCAGGGACATTAATTGTCTTGGTTCCCGCAACGAAATAAATCAAAAGAGCACCACGGAAAGACGAAAACTAAGTGGGTCCTATGTGTGAGCTGTTATACTTGCTTCCAATAATAGGTGTGGCAAGAGCGCCTAAACGCACGGAAATTTGTTCTAGATTCCACAAGGTCCGTATAATAAGCTACACCTGACGAAACAATTAAATTATTTAACATAGTGTTACGTTCATATTGCCAGAGATCACACTCCCAGAGTATGTGATGTGCCGACTGCTCGTATTGTAACTTCACTGTCGAACATTGGCATCATGGTGAATCACCAAGTTGAAATAAGAACAACTTGCTTTTAAAGTTGCTGTGGCCAATAAGAATTTGGCCAACACAGTGATGCATCTCCAACCGCTCATGCACGGATGGGAAGAACTGATATAGGTGGCGGCCCGTGATAGAAGATTCCCATCTGCACTGCCATTCAGTTGTAAATCGAGGCTAAAACAGCTTTTAGCCTCGATTTACAACTACTCCTAGGCCAGCGCCTAGGAGTAGTTTTATCTATTACCTATCTATCACCTATTGTGGCCGTAAGAAAAGAGAGGCTTTCAAAATTGGCGTCAGCGCTGTATGATAGGTACTGTTTGTGTAATATAAATTATTAATATTCATATGATTTCTTTTCGATATCTTTTATTTAACGTCCTGCTTAAAAAATACGAGTGTGTATATCCCAGCACTACGGTTCGAATCGTAGGTGCCCTTCGTGGATAAATACATAAAACAAATTTGCATCCACGAAGAGCACCTGCCAAATATTTTGATAGGTGCCCTTCGTGGACTAGGCTGGGTGCTATTCGTTCAGGTGCTATTCGCACAGGTGCTCTAAATGGTCTACCTCTCATCCCTAATTCCGCATCTGTTAGCATAATAAAAAAACGACAATAACATACCAAAGGGTAAGGTTACTGCTGCGTAATTATTAATTCAAATTCACCTGTACTTTGACATAGGATACCACACGTAAATTCCAACAAAATTACTCGACTCATCGATGAAAAATTTCGTTTTTACGCAACACACAAACTCGGGAAATTCTATTGTAACATAAGTCAACTTGCGTTAAAATTTGGTATAGAAGCTACGTATTAATAAATAATAAGCTTTAAAGGTATGTTTTGTCTATTAACAGTAAATAAATATGATTTGGCGACATGACTAATTTTTTTAACTTAAATCTTAATGTATGTTACAAAAGGCCTTTGAAAAAGTATTAAGTACCTACACAAAAGTATTGGTGAGTCAATTATAGAAGAAACCATTTCATGAATATAATATTACAATGGTTTATTAATAAGTAAATATTTTCCTGGTCGTTTTGAACTGATGAATTTGTCATAACAATTATTTATAGAAAAATATTCTCGTAAGACATACTGAATTGGGATGATGACAGGGTATGAAAATTAAAAATCTAATTAGTCCGTAATAATGAAAAAATATTAGACATGTATTTTTTTAGTTTGTCGTATAATAAAACAATACTTAGATAAAACGAATCAAAGTTTAGGAGTGGGAGCTAAAACGTCATTTCTACGTATAAAATGTACATAGAAGTGACGTCACGCGAAATTTCAAATCAATATATCGTCCAAAGTATTCGTTTCTGTAAGAAGAATACGTATAAAATAATCTATCAGACGAACATTAAAATAAAAATTAGGCATCTATCCTATTGACTAAATATTCACGTAAAATAGCTCTCATTAAAATTATTATAACTCAGACATACAACAATGCCTATTATGAGCTAAAACAATTAAAAAAACAAAAGAACATCCGCCCAGGTTAATGTGTAATTGATCACGTGGGAGCACGTTTTCGTTTGCATGAAAAGTAAAAAAAAAACTTAACGCCGTCAGTACACATGTACTCATATACAGTATTTCTATATGCATGTATGTGTGTACGTACTCATTGTTCAAATACATCATTTTACAATTCACATTTTAAGCAGTAGCGGATAATTATTTCGATTCGTCAAATTCGTCACCTACACATGAAGCATACCTGATTATTTTGAAATGTTTTTTCCGTCTTAAATCTAAAAATGTAAATAGCTAAAAAGAATGTAGTGTAATGTAAACCTTTCCTTTTTCACAAATTTTTATTTCACATTTGATTGGATTCAAAACTCGCCCGGCCCCGCAATCGAAAGTAAGTATTATTATTGGATTTTTTTTTAATTCACAGTATTAGCATGGAGTCTGCAATTGTGCCCGGTATATGGCAATAGGCTCACCGCTATTACATGGGACTCATTACATAAATAGTGAAAAGTCGGTATTACATTGTAGGTACAGTTGCAAACAGTCTTGTGATGTACACACCTCTTCGCAGATAAAAGGCGTGATGTTATGTTATATTATTTCACATAATTAATTGGATTACAGTAATATTTTAAATACTTTTCAACTCAAGTCTTGATACTGTACTTTTCTCTACAAATAAAAAACAACCCGATGATTGCAAGAACTGATAACTTATTATACAATACCAGGTTAAAGCCCAGTAACCTAGTTCCATCAACATATTCTCAAGCTATACGATAAGGGGATAAGATAAAAAAATATCGCAATTCTATCAAGAAAATTCACAAATATGTCAAACATAATAAATACTTTTACTGCATAGCGTATAACATAATAACATGTGCTTGCGTGACATGTCAAGGCTATTGAAAACTATGGATTCCATTGAAGGACAATATTATAATTATTTTATATGGAAATACGTTTGCAAAGAAAATATATCTATATTATTATTAATTTTTTTTTTGATGAAACCATTCAAATATAAATCGATTTCAGAATTGAATAACATAAAACACTCTCATGACTGGAAGTGCCATCACCAAAAATATAATGTTAACTATATTTTAAATATCGTCTTTGTTACTAACAATGAAATCCTTAGCTACATAAGTAAAGACCAAATACCTATGTCACATGTATCAATGTGGTAGTTGCCCAAACCACGTTCAAGGCAAATACCTAAATAGTTGGTAATGAATTTTCTCGCTCCGACCTTGAACTTCGCGTGCCGTGAATACAAAATGAGCACAGTTTCTAGCGACTGTAAATTCTAATGAGTGTCTGGGAGGTCTCTATTTACATAAATGTATCGAAAACTAACATAAATATTGGGGGAATTCGTAACATCGCATGTAGTAGCGAAAAAATAAAGGTATTTAATATTTATAATGACAAGAGTTATTTGGCATTTGTCTTACTAACATTCAGTGTATATTAAATTAGCTGATCGTTTTAGAGATAAAATATTTGTTGTGGACCAATTCAATAGTGGAAAATTCGAAGCACATCAAAAATTTAAACTTCGTTCTCAAATGTATGCAAAATGCCAATTCGCTATTTAGTACCTTTTTTAAAAATCTAGACAAAATACAGAAGTAAATTTCGTATGTTCACTCTATACGTCAAAACATGGAAGTCCACGCGAAAACATAAAGACTTAAAGAATTGATTAAACACCATCGAACTATGAATATGACACGCGTAGACGTCAATTGTATACAAAGATAATCCACGTGCATAGACTTACTGTAAAACCAGTTCATGTTTCAACTGTCAAAGCTCTATATATTTATGCAAATTGTTCGCGTGTAATTTTTTTTCTTATGTATCACTTCCAGTGTTCGCTAATCCTTAATCATTGTTAAGTAAGACGTCATAGTCGCCATGTTTGATGATACCTGTCTACATTATTTCTAATAGTTCTAATATTGTGAAACAGTTACAAGACAGCTAAATGAACGAAAACTTTAAAATATTGAGACATCAATACAATTTATTGATCTATAATTCAGAAACGAGACAATGTTATCTATATTTTATGTTAATGAGTCATATCTGTATTTGGAAATCAAAGCAAATTAATAGTTGATACGAAAACAAATGAAAAATGTGACGTAAAATGTGATGTTTTACGTCGGTAACAGCTATAATCTTAATTGGAGATATCAATAAATAATTAATTGTAAGATTGTGATTTGGCGGAAAGGCACCGTAACCCGTGATTTGTTTAAAAAAAGGTAGCGCCGCAGATAAT